GGGAAATCCAGGGGGGATGGGGCTGCTTTCAGGGAGAGCAGTTTGCAAGGGTGGGGAGGGCGGGGAGCCTCCCTTGCAGAGGGAGGACAAGCAGAGGCTTGGACAAGCCCCAGAGACAGCTGGTGGCTTTGAGCACTTCCTTGTTTGCATTGGACAGGTGACCGGCCTGCTCTAGAGGCTTATTCCCGGGGCCTTTGTTCCACGCTGTGTAATTAAAGTGCACAGTCAGCCTTACTTCCTCTGACCTACCAAGACCTGCGAAAAAAACTACATGAGGATCCCAAGATAACCATTATATGTTATCAAGTTTAGGTTATCGACGTACATTTTAAGCTCTAGGCGCCATGTGCTCGCGGAGGGAGAGAAAGACTTAACACATTTTTGGCAGGGCTAAGTCTGCTTCGGGGAAGCAGTCGAGGTAATATGGCGGAGAGTGGCCAGCCGGGAGTGTTTTGTCCGACACGTGGATCGGTGCCACTTGCTGGTGGCCTGGGCTTTAAGCACCTTCGCGGGTGTGTTAGAGCTGAGTCAGTCTGCTGTGTGACCAGCACACAAGAACCCAGCCCTCCTGCCCGTTCTCTGAGGCAGGTGCAGTTAGGGATGGCCTGCCGGTCACAGATGTGACAGCCCAGGGCCCGCGGGGCTGGTAACTGGCAAATGGCACCCTGGTAGCGGTAACGAACCTTGTCCTGACCTAGACGGGCGTCGGGTCTGCTGCCCGTACAAACCGGTTGCCTCCCTGTGGTGAATCAAAGGCCTCTCTCCTGCATGTTGCCTAAGCTGTCATTTGGTGCTGCCGGCTTATCAGAGGCTGCCCTCGGACCTCTATTTCGGCAGATCTCTGGTGCTGCCGCAGGGCCAGAATGATTTGGGCAACCCCCATGGGACGTTCTGTATTGGATTTGGAGTACAAGGTAGAGTTTGCATCTGGTTTCCACTGTCTCCTCCCTACAACACGGGATGTGTTCTGGAATGAATAGCAGCAACAGAAAGGCAGACACAAAAACCAAAACCGAAAACAGAAAAACAAGCTTAACTGGAGTGTGACTTCTCTTGGAAAGCTTGGGTGAAAGGGTGAATAAAAGCCTGTAGAAGGGCACGCAGCACAGCTTTGGCAGTTGAAAGAGCGGGTGTGGCCTAGCCTGTTGTCATTTGCTCAGAGGCTAACACCGCATGTAAGGAACAAGGCGCCTCATCCAACAGCTCAGTGTCGATGACTCAGAATTTCAAATTGCGAAGGAGTACGCTTTTGCAGCAGGAGACAACCCCAGGAAGCGAATGCTCCACAGAAACGCTTTAGCTCAGACTTGCTAGGAAATAGTGGCCCACTGTTTGAAAAAAACTGTGGTAAACTATCGATCACATGAAACGTACCATTTTAAGCGTTTCTAAGTGCACAGAGGCATTACGTACATCCGCGGTGTTTGGAACCATAACCACTACCAAGTTCTAGAAGTTTCTCATCATCAAGAAGAAACTGTCCCCCGTTAAACATTCATTCCAGTTCCCCCTTGTCCCAGGCCCTGGCTACGTCCACCCTATGTCTCTGTGAATTTGATAGTCCCACTTTTCAATTCTGGAGTTGGCAGAGGTGTTCTGACCTTTTACATACATGGGCCAAACGTAACATTAATTTATTTTGCTCTTGCTGATGTGCTTGCATTTCTTTCTCACCTGTTTTCAACGAAATACTGTCTTTCCCCAGGTGATGCCGTGATAATATTCCCACCTCCCCCACCACCTTACTTTCCTGAATCTTCAGCTTCTGCAGTAACCCGAAGTCCTGGGGCTAACGGTTTGCTTCCAAATGAAAATCCACCTTCGTATTACAGTATTTTTAACTATGGGTAAGACTTTGCGTTTGCACTTCAAGAGTAAGCATGTTTAACCTTCTCGGGTCTGTGGCTCAGCTCAGGCCAAATCAGTTTTAAGGCTGCGGTACAGGAATCAACGTTAGAGTGGGAGGATCTTTTTTGCTGACACTGTATCAGAATTATTGCCTTAATAGTAACGGTACCTTTCAGGAAACTGTAGGCAGCACATACGTGAAAAATTGTAAAAGTGGTTATGCCGGGTTAATACGAAGCCTTCTCCAGGTATCTTTATGAGTTCCTAGCATGGGTGAGCCTCCAAATGTTTAACACTTCATCAGCCAGACTGAGCACTGGGACAGGGCTTGCGAAGCCCCCTATGTTAGGCTCTGCCGCTTTAGATCATGGGGAGATATGGGGGTCCCCTAGCGACCTCCAACAGGAACACAGGTTTTCAGTACCTCATGGAGGTACTTGAGTGACTGGCTAAAATCAGCTTGCACCCTGACCTGACCAAGTTTGGCTTCTCTTCTCAACATTCAGTTGTTCCCTGGGCCACGGAACCTTCTCAGACTGAATGAAGAGAAATATAAGATTCACACTCCCCTCCGCCATGCTCCCCATATGCCACAAATTAGGACGCATACCTGGGGTTAAACAACATAAATCTAGGTGTTTTTCCTTCCTGCAGAGGGACACAGCTGAAGGTTTTAGAGACATGGCCATGGGATGCAAGTGGTGGTTGGTGCAGTTCATAATGGGGAAAGGCTGGAGGCGGCCAGACTGGCTGGGAGGCTGACTTTCACGGCCACCGGGATGTCTGGAAACCCCCACTGCTGGGGATGGGTGCTGCCTTACCTGGTCCTTCGTGTTTTAAGGCCCATGTTCTTGTTGCGCTTCAAACTGGGTGGTGAGCTGGAGATCCAACCAGAGATGGATATAGGAACCGTCCTGCAGGGATGAAGGGGAGGTTACGTTCTGGGCATTTGTAGAATTCTGTTAGTGAATTTTTATATTCTTTACTCCAATGATGAACCTCCCCAAGCCCTAAATAAACGTCTATTGACGTAAAAAACGACAACTCCTATTTGCTACTACCATGATTTCTGTGTGCCACAGTCTGGCTTTACTTGCATTATCTCATGTAATTCTCACGGGTAGAGAGTAGGCACTCTGATCATCCCCATTTTACAGATGAGGATGCCGAGGCTTAGTGAGGTTAAGTAACTTGCTCACGATCACACGGCTGGAAAGCGGCGGAGTGGAAATTCAGAGGCAGTTCTGCCTGGTAGGACTCACTCCAGTAACCACTATGCTTTACTGCCTCCCTTCAAGTTTTTGGTTTGATTTAATTTTCTATTTGCCTCAGTCTGTCTGCCTTATGCTAGCTGTCCCGGAAGACAGAAACAGAGAAGAGTCAGGCAGAGAAGAGTAATAACTCTGTGTGTGTGTGTGTGTGTGTGTGTGTGTGTGTGTGTACTCATTTTGGATGGCACCTATACATTCCTACCTCGCGTCTTCTCAATGTCAAGGAAAACAAAACAGGGTGAAATTCTCTTAATGTTACAATCAGCTGTAAGGAAAGTAGGGAGTAAGGAATCGAGATATATCTATAAGAAATACAACATGGAAGAAATTACTCCTGAGACCCTTGCAAATGCTCCTAAAAGCATATAATTAAACGTTTGAAAAGAACCTCATATTTAATGTGTGTCACTATTCTCTCCTTCCTTTCTGTTCTCCTTCCTTCTTTTTAGTAGGACCCCAACTCCTGGGGGCCAAGGTGTGGGCTCTGAGAGAGATTGTGAATCTATATACACCATTTCTGGGTCTCCTTCATCCGCTGGGATCTCGTACACTCCACATCTCTCCTCTGAACTGCCTCCCAGATACGAAGAAAAAGAAATCGCGGCAACCACATCCTTATCCCCATCTTCTGAGCCTTCCCGACCGTGACTCCAGTTCAACTGTACATAAAATCAATCACTATTTTATATAATTTGTTTTGTAATAAAAAAAAAAATACAGTGGCATCGGCTCTGTTCTGATTTCCCTGGCCTTTCAGTATCAACATCCATAGCGAACGTTCTGCACTAAGCGCTCTGGACCACGGGAGAGGCAAAGTGCCCATAAGCTGATTCTCTCATTTAGACCTACTACATTCAAGCTGGTAGACGGAGAAACAAAGGTTCCAAGAGAATAATTAAGCGAGCCCGGGTCACACTGCTTCTCAGTGGTGAGGTTGGGTTTTGAACCCATCTAGCTGGGTTCTGAAGGCCAGCCCGTGGCTACCCGGTTTCTGTCAAAGGCTGACCGGAGGCAGCTGTTAATGTTTAGCCTGGCCCATTCTATTTCCAATGTTAACTGCTTCTGAAGCAGAGAAACTAGACGACTCTCCTAAGTTCCTTATTATTTCTTCCTCTTCTTGCCTTCCCTCTCCCTGTCTTCCTTCTTCCTCCTCCTCCTATTCCTCTTTTCTTTCTTCCATTTTGCAAGAAGGTAATTAGGTCGTTTACACGGGGACAGTGACCAGCACGTTGATATCCTGAAGCCTCCTCATTGTGGAATGACACGGTCAGAAAAGAGATTTCTTGGGCTACTGTGGTAGCTAGATTCCCGTGGAAGGGTGTGCCTTTCGGTTACAACGTATTGGTGCTAGGCTGCCTGGACCACTGCCTTTTATTCTTATAAGGCTACTGATGAACAACAGCTTTTGTACTGTTGGGTGCGACGGTAAGTATTTCATTTCTAGGTATAAACCAGAAATCACCACTAAGTATTAGCAGTTCTACCCGGGAGAAAGTGACTTTTGGAACATAAAAATCTGTGGTAACAGCACTGTTGTGATAATGAAATCACACAAAAACGTGAACTTTTTATGCCTTTACACAAGCCTAACCCCCATAAAAAATCCATATTACCCATGGGGCGCCTGGGTGGCTCAGTCGGTTAAGCGTCCGACTTCGGCTCAGGTCATGATCTCACGGTCCGTGAGTTCGAGCCCTGCGTCAGGCTCTGTGCTGACAGCTCAGAGCCTGGAGCCTGTTTCAGATTCTGTGTCTCCCTCTCTCTCTGCCCCTCCCCTGTTCATGCTCTGTCTCCCTCTGTCTCAAAAATAAATAAAAGTTAAAAAAAAAAAAACATAAAAAAAAATCCATATTACCCAGCAGTTAGGTGCCTGAAAGCAGAATTTAAGAGCGTTAATGCTCCAGTAGTTTAACCGAAGTCATGACTGATTCCGTGGGAATTGCCACCACCATAAATCACGGGTACCAGCAACGATCTATTTTTGAATTGGACGTTTATTGAACTACTCTTAAAATTCCGTGTGTTTTTTTTTTCCTGGAAGGTTAATTATTCACATTTTAAAATTAGAGCCAAGGGTAGATTATGACCACTTCCTTCTGCTGTTATTTGTTTAAAACGATTAAGCTGAAATTTCTAGGTAGACTTCATACTGAACACGTATGAGTTCTCCTTATATCCAAGACCTTTTAGTGGCTCAAAGCTGGGGTTTGTAACTGGGTATTTTCCCTTTCTATGCTAATATAATTGAAATGCAGTTAGAAATTCTTGGGTGTAAGTCTGACCTCCTAGTTAGGAAGTCTCTTCTACCTCTGTTGTTCTCGGCAGCATTGAGGAAGGTGGAGACTGAAGAAGACAGAGCATTGAGACAGGTCCCCGGGGTGATGATGTTTATTGGAGGACTGACATCACAGTGGAGCTGGGGCAAATCATTGAGTCACGGAAGATACGTCCTTTGCCTATCTAGGTTCTGGCAAAGGGTGACAGCTTCTGAAAAGCCACCTAGTGGACTGTTACTTGTTTTGTTTTTTCCTGCATATGTATCAACATTGTTTTAAATCGAGGTAAAACTCACATAACACGAAACGAACCATTTTTCAGGTGAACAGTTCGGTGGCATTTAGTACATTTACCTGTTGCACAGTCATCTCCTCTATCTCACTCCAAAATATTTTTATTACCCCAAAAGGAACCCCACGTAACAGTCACTCCTCGTTGCCTCCCTCCTCCCCAGCCCCCGGCAACCACCAATCTGCTTCTGTCTTGGTAGAGGTACCTTTTCTAGGTATTTCATGGTATTTTTCAGATTCATCCACATCATCGTCCGTATCAGTACAAGCATCTATTGGAGTGCCTGTGTGAATTCTTTTGGTCATATACCTAGGAATGGAATTGCTGGACCATGCTGACTTAAATGAAAACCTTTTCGCACAGAGGCTGGACCTTTTCCGTTCCCACCAGCAATGTGTGCGAGTTCCAATTCTTCCACGTCCTCACCCACGCTTGTTATTTTTTGTTATTATTATTATCACCATCATCATCATCGCCACCCTGGTTAGTATGAAATGGCACCTCATTCCGGTTTTCGTTTGAATTTCTCCAGTGACCGATAACATGGAACATCCTTCCAAGGGTGTCACTTGTTTTTGAATACCAAAACGTTATCATCAGTGGCATAGAAAATCTCACTCCTGATTTCCCTCCTGTGGTGGCGGGAGGTGTGAAAGCCACCTTCTGGCAAACAGTGACGGGGTCTGCAAGTTCAGGTGGGACGATCCACACAAGGCACACTGTTTCCACGCTGCCTCCATGCCATGAAAACCTCTTCTTGTGGATTCTTCATCTTCTCCCGGGGTCAGTTAAGTGGACTAACCCCTACTAAAACTAAAGCAAATTTTGGACTAGGTAAGGTCCCTTTGCTATTTCTTCACTTTACAAACTAAGGAGGAACGCAGCAGGCAGGCCATGGGAAGCAGCTTTTCAGAGGATGAGAGCTGAGGGGCGAGCAAGGATGTGCTCATCCAATTTATACCCGAGAGGCGGCAGTGGGGTGGGGCGAGGCCCCTGGGACAGGTGTCCTGTGACTGTGTCATGTGACTGTTGGCCTTCTGATTTGGGTGCTGGGCAGAGGACTATCGCCATGTGGGTGGTAGATATCCCCTGAAGGGGGACATCATTCCAGGGCAGGTCATACTAAAGGAACGGATCTAGAGATAGGAAGGGAACCTTGGAAGGTGGCCTTAGGCAGAAGAGACACAGTAGTCTGGCGGGATCTATGAGGGTCCACATGGATAAGAACCCCTATAACTATTGAAAAGGTTAATGGCCGGGTTCCATTCCAGACTGGGCCAATAAATCCAAATCTCCAGGGGAGTAACATCTATCATCTCGGGATCTGCAAAACACTGCCCATGGGGACCACAGAAACTGCAGACGCAATACCTAGTGGGCCGGATTACCTGGGATTATGAGCCCCTGTGACTTCTACGCCTTCCAGAGAGGCCTGTTGACAGAGCCCGTCCCCGTGCTGAGGGTCCTAAAAGGGAAGGATGTGGGTTTACCATCAGCCCCCCAGTGTTGACGGGGGCTGCACACGGTCTCCCTAGCCCAGCCTTCTAGGCAGCCCAGCCAGTGATTCGGGAGACAACCCCGAGGGTGTGGGGCGACGACGTCAGAGGCCCTCGCTTCTTTCATGTAGGGAGACTTCCGGTAGTTCCAGACTGGGGGACCTTGGACTCATTTATTAGGGAAGGCATGGGTTTATCTTTGCTTCTTCGTGTTTGGATGAAGTCAGGACTGCTGGGTGCCTACAAGTGCAAGCATCAACGATGTCTGTCAAGATGAGGCAGAGTGGAGGTAAAAGGTAGCCAGGTTGAAATGGAAAATGCTCGACAATGTCCAAGTGGGAAATAGTAGGAGAACAGTAGGAGTCTTGCTGCCTCGAGGGGCCTCCCGGCCTCTGATGGGTCAGTTACGAGAGCTCCCCGGGCAGTGTGGTAGGCTGGGCTCTGCCCTGCTGCCACGCTGGACATGGGACACCCTGATCCTCCAGCCTCTGCTGTAGGAACTTCTCCAAAGAAGAGACGAGCTGGGAAGCATGCTGTGGGGGTGGTGGGTGGGCCGGAGGGGTGAAATGTCCTCTGACTGTTGGTGGGGAACCATGCATGGTCAGTCTGCTTCATGCCACGCGCGCTCCTGGGATCTTGCATAGCTCGGATTCCTGGAGCATCATGCATGCTGCCACCAGCCTGAGGGCCACAACAAGAACAGAGCGGAAGGCTTGTCTGCAGCTTTCCCTAGTAGGAAATGCTTTGCGGGGATGGGGGAGATTCCAGCTGGGTGAGGCATGTGACTGCTTGGAAAGGCTATCTGTCCCCCACCTCACTCAGCAGAGTGCCCCTGACTCTGGCTGCTTTCTGGAGGCTGCTTGGGCCTGAAGGGACCAGAAGTTCGGCAGGGTGAGCTGGGGGTAGATGAGCCACCACTGCTGTTGCGTGCCAAGCCACTCAGACGACACTCATTTAAAGGCCGTGAGGCACTGACGTGCCTCCAAGATTCTCTTCCCGGGCTCTGGAACTTTCCTCCTCCCTCCTGGTGCTCAGGCAGTAAAGTTGCTAGGAAGGAGCCTCCCCACCGGCGGCTCTCTCCTGGGGACCTGCAGGGTTGGAGCAGAAGCCCGGGTCTGACAGGTGCTAGGCCAGGCCAAGCTGCTTCCCTCCTGTGTCTGCTCCCTGCTACCCTGTGAGCACTAACAGGTTATCTCAGGTCCCGCTGGGTGCAGGCTGGCAGAGCCTGATGTCCTTCCCGACGCCCGTGCCCTTTATGGCTGTGCACCTTTGCTAAAGGGACCTTGATGCCCAGTTATGTGTGGCCATCGGCTGGTCACTGCTCTGTTCCCGCCCTGGCCCATTTCAGGGGGTGCACTTCAGCCCCAGAAGGGAACTAGAATCGCAGTCCAGCTCCTAGAAGTGTCTCCTCCTTCCATAGTAGATTCCTGGCTTTGGGGTTCTTTCTCCGTTTGAATTGTCACTCGGTATTACTACTAATGAAACTAATGAATAAACTAAAAGATTTTTGAAGTTTTTTAAATCCTTAAAATAGATCTCGCTAAGCACAAGTGTAAATTTAGAGCACTACATTGGAAGTCACTTAAATAATTATTTTTCTTTGTATCCCTAATTTGATATACAATTTGGGTCACTTATCTCCATTGACATTTAGGGTTAGTTTTTTTTTT